CAGGAGCACCTCGGACATGACTATGACGGCTACCAGTCATATTGCACTGTCTGCTGCCAGAAGGCAATGGGTTGCTGCTGCTGTGTAGCAATGCAGTACCGTGTCTGCCAGTACCCAGGAGACATACGGTGACAGTTACCTGAGCAGGCTCCATGCTTGCCGTGGTATGGCGTCTGCACAGGTAACTCAGGAAAAAAGGCACGAAACGATTGTCTGCCCTTGCTTTCACGGAGAGAGGGAGGGAATGGGGGCCTGACGATATGTACCCAGAACCACCCACGACAATGTTTTAGCCCCATCAGGCACTGGGATCTCAACCCAGAATTCCAGTGGGCAGCGGAGACTGCGGGAACTGTGGGATAGCTACCCACAGTGCAACGCTCCGGAAGTTGACGCTTGCCTCAGTACTGTGGAAGCACTCCGCCAAGTTACTGCACTTAATGCACTTAGAGCATTTTCTGTGGGGACACACACTTGAATATATAAAACCGATTTCTAAAAAAACGACTTCTATAAATTCGACTTAATTTCGTAGTGTAGACATACCCCTAGTTTTCTAGCTAGGCAAGTCAGCACCGGTTTACATCCAGGACCAGAAGAGTCTGCTCAACACATCCAAATAAACAAGTAACATTTCTTAAGTCTGGCACCAGTATTGCTAAGAAAAGAAAGAGTGCTGGATAAAATAGGTTCTCTCACCAATTTCTTCCCTTTAAGTGGAAATTCCATTCGCGGCATCATGTGTTTCTCTAACCAGTTTTCCAGATCCTTTCCCAATTGTCACCGATGATTCAATTGCTTTGCATGACCATGGAAGTGCTAACTGTTTGTGTCTTTTTGTTACGCAATAGCATTCATGTAAAACCCAGCCTTACAGAAAAGCTGCACCCAGTTCACTCAATGCAACATCGAGAAGGCTGAGAGGGAGTGGGAAGAGAAGCAGACAGCATATACAAATGTCAAAAATAGTTTTCAATTAAAACTAAGTCTGCAGCTGGGGAAGCTGTTTTGCTGAAGTGTGACACTACCAATAAGGAAAACCCATTTAAGCATCTGTACTATTTTGTACCTCATTTGAATATTGGTGAAGCATCAGAAGGGTGCTATTGTCTAACACAGTGGTTCTCAAACTTCTTTTTTTTCCCCCCCACAGACCACTTGAAAATTGCTGATGGTCCACTTAATGATCTTTCCAAATGTTGTTTGTACCATTAGCTAACTATTGTAAAGTATTTTGGATAAAAGCGCTATATATAAAAAAACCTTAAACTTTTGTTTGTTCTACAAATAAAAGCACACAACTCATTTTAATATCAGTAGTCTTACCTTTCTAATGTGATGGATGTGCCCTCTCCCCTGCCGCAGCAGCCCCCGAGCTGGGCCTGGGAAGGAGGAGGGTCTCTCCCCCGCCACGGCAGCCCCTGAGCTGGGGCTGGGAAGGAGGAGGGTGTCTCTCTGGCAGCCACAGCCCTGGAGCTGGGGAAAGTTGCCTCTATTTCTGGCCACTGCAGCCCTGCGCATCCCAAATTCCCCCCACCCCTCTTCTCACCCCACTGCTCCGTCCCCTACCCACTATCCCCCCCCGACCCCCACCTCACCTTACATGTGCATCTTCTCAAGGGTCCAGGCACCTAATTAGTGGAGCCACACCTGTGTGGCTCCACTAATTAGGTGGGTGGCCCTTCATTCTCTTGTGTGCAGCTGCCCAGGCATGCACCTTAGAGGGAACTTTCTGCAGACCACCTGAATGGAGCTCGTGGACCACTGGTAGTCCACGGATCTCAGTTTGAGAACCTCTGATCTAACAACCCTTGCTAATAAAAACATTTTATACCCAGCAATATACTAGAGACAAGATAGATTAAACTCTCTTATTAGGCACTCACCATGCTAGCACAAACCACACCACCATTGGCATCCTTCCCCGGTGGGGGGGGGGGGGGGGGGAGGGGGGGGAAGTTGCCAATTTAGCTCAAAGATTTTCAAAACAAACTTGTGCACATAGCCCAGAGTGCTCCTTCCCATGCGAGCTGGTAAGAAATGGGGAGATTAAAAAGTTGCCTTGACATTTCAAAAGATGTGGGATCCTGCCCACCATTGCCTCTGCACTATGCATAGCCATTTACACCAGTTTGAGGTGGATGTGAAAACACTGCCATTTCTAGGCTCGGTCTATACTTAATAGTTAGATCAATATAGCTCGGCCAGTTAAGGGGTGTGAAAAAAAAAATCACATCCCTTATCGACATAGCTATGGTGACCTGACCCCCAGCGTAGACGCAGCTAGGTTGACTGAAAAAATGCTTCTGTTGAGGTAGCTAACGTCATTCAGGGAGTTGGCGTTCCTACACTTGTGGCACCTTAGAGACTAACAAATTTATCTGGGCATAAGCTTACGTGGGCTACAACCCACTTCATCAGATGCATGGAGTGGAAAATACAGTAGGAAGATATATATACCCAGTACATGAAAAGACATGAGTTGCCTTACCAATTCGATAATAGCCCACTTTAACAGGAGGAAAAGTCACATTTGTAGTGGTAATCAGGGTGGCCCATTTCAAACAGTTGATAAGAAGGTGTGGGGGGGGGGGGGTAGAATGAGTATCAGAGAAAATAGCTTTCTTCACACTAGAGTGACCAGATGTCCTGACTCTATAGGGACAGTCAGAATTTTTGGGTCTTCTTCTTATATAGGCTCCTATTACCCCCCACCCCCGTCCCGATTTTTCACACTTGCTGTCTGGTCACCCTACTTCACGCCCAGAGTTACGCAGCAACTACTGTACTGTGCGCCTTTAAACATTATCATTTTATGGAACACATTGAGACACCAATAAGAGCCGTTTCACCAAAAGATCACACTTCACAGCCTCATTTGAGAGCCTGGTGGGGGGAAAAGGGTGTGAAGAGGAATGGCATCACTATGAAAAGAATAAAGCCACCTATTCCAAAAGCTGGTTTCAGTAGGGCTAAGAGGCGGAGGGGGAAAAGCCAGCCCCAGTGGCAGGGATGCACTGGGAAGCTGAAACTAGAGATGGTTCTGATCTAGAAAAGGGATGGGGGACGACACCCATGCTGCGAGTTCAGCACGTGAACAAACGCGACAGAGAGCTCATTAGCACCCAGGCACTATAGTGACCACACAGCCACCCTCCCAGGAGGGGCAGGGCGAGGCATGTCTGGGGCAGAGCCTTTCTACTCGCCCTGGATTATTAACGCTGGCACCCGGGGAGCTGCGGCCCCGGAGCCCCCGCGCAGCCAGCCAGCCAGCCAGCGCACGGCCGGGGGAGCAGGGGGCGAGGAGGAAGGCGCAACCCAGCAGGGCCCGGAGCGAGCGGCCCCGGGAAGGGAAGCGCCGGGCCGGAGCCGTTCGAGCAAGGAAGGAAGCAGCGCGCCTAGGCTCAGTAGCAAAGTAGCTACGGACACAACGTGCAGCGAGCCGGGACTCTGCCCGCTCCCCGCCCCCGGAAACTCCTTCCTCCGCCTGCCCCACCGCTCCCCCTGGCAACCCCCGCCTCTCCCTACTGCCTTGCAACCCCCTTCCCCCTCAGCTGCCCCCTGCATTCGCCGCCTCGCCCTACCCTCCTGTCCCTGCCCCCCTTGAACTCCCCCTTCCTCTCCCAGCCCCCTTACAAGCCCCTTCCCCCTCAGCTGCCCCCTGCATTCGCCGCCTCGCCCCGCCCTCCTGTCCCTGCCCCCCTTGAACTCCCCCTTCCTCTCTCTATTGCCTTGCAACCCCCTTCCCCCTCAGCTGCCCCCTGCATTCGCCGCCTCTCTCTGCCCCCTTCGCCCTGCCCCCCTTCAACTCCCACTCCTGCCGCGCCGCTCCCCCTTAGTTGCCCCTTGCACGCTCCTCCCCAGCCTGCCCCCGTACGATGCCCCCGTGACCCCTCCTTGGCCGCGGAACCCAACTCACCGCCCAGCCCCGCACAGGATCCGTCCTGTCCCTCGGGCCGGCTAAGGCAGAAGCGGGGCGGAACTCGCCACCCTCCCTTCCTCTACCTGGGGAGGTGGGCGCGGCTAATGGGAACGGGGCGGGGCTGCGCTGGGGGGAGGAGAGAGGCGTGGCCAGGCTAATTGGGGCGGGCGGGACATTGGTTGTTAAGCGGCGGCAGGTGAGAGGCACGTGGGGTGGAGAAAGTCTCTTTTCCCCCTCCCCCAGTCCTAAAACATGTCCCCTCCGCGCAATCCCGGGCAGCGCTTCCCCGGTCTGTGACCAGCCGGTTCACGGGGCCCAGAAAACGCTGTGGGAATTGCCATCTCTCGCGGGGGGGCGTTTCTCTCTTTGGGTCGGGCTCTGCCCCCAGCAATCAGTGGGAGTTCGGGGCCGCAGTAGGCTCTGGGGCTTCACCTCTCCCTGCCTCCGTTTGCCCATCTAGGAAATGGGAGGAGGCCAGCATAGTGGTAATTACAAGCAAGGGGGTGACGTTACGAACTGGGAATTTTAGAGTGAATACCTGGAAAACCTTCCTGATAGGGAGAGAGTTAAATCTGGAAGAGGGATAGCCTAGGCTCCTTTGGGAAGTGCTGGAGCCGGGGGCTCCGTTACTGAAAGTTGGAACTGGACTACATGAGTAAATCCACAGGAATAATCCTGCACTGAGAGAAGGAGTTAATCATTTGTTTCTGTCTGTGAAAGGGGATAATAATCCTTATGCTCTACCTCGCCAAAGTACAATTAGGCTTAATTAGCTAATGTTTGTACAGGGCTTTGGAAATACAGAGTGGGCAGTGTTATTTGGAAGGACAAAAGGCAGAGGAAATCATGAATGCATACGCCCTCTGTAGTATCTATCCATGGCTCCAAGAAGTCAGTAATTCTTCAGCCCCAGGAAATACATTTTTCTTATCTTGTCTCTGTGTTTTAATGGTCTGCATTAGCATTCACCGAATACATTATGATGTGCTATTTACTCACCTTGCACCGGTGTCCTGAGGATGACTTGGTTAATGTTAGAACTGAGCCAATAAAAGAGCTAAGTAGTATTTTAGGTTACCTCTGTCTGCATCTTCAAGACCTTTATGTGGCTTCCACCCTCTCTTAGGAACGTCCCATGTAACTGCTTGATGGGGAAAGGAGACCTGTAGACGTTTGCCTCTCCATAGCACAGAGTGTGGTGTTGGTGATCTGCGCTGGGGAGACTGGAAGTGAATAGCAGGGACAGGGTAGGGTGAGGCTTATTGGAATAGCTGCTCATGTCCAGGCATGTTCGGTGGCAGCCAATGCAGAGCCACATCAAGTATCCTCCTACAACGTTTGATTGCATTCAGGGCTTTGTTCCTTTGTAAGGTGATGCTTCTTCCAAAGTCAGCCTCAGATACTGGAGCCAAGTTTACTCTGGGAGCTGGATTATAAAGCAATTAGTGTTTGCTCTTGCAAAAATGGCTTAAAGAAGAGGATCAGTTGAAGAGTAGGAAATACTCTGTGTATGGGACACAGGCTTATGGTTTTGGGGTTTTTTTTGGTTTGCTTGTTTTTATCCTAAATTTAAGCTGATTCAGTTTCTAAAGATGAAGTTGGTTCCTAGCAGAAATCTTTCGTTATTGAGTTAAGATTTGTGTACAGGTTTTACTTGTGGCTCTCTTTAATTTGATGAATTTTTTCCCAGTTTTGGCATACAATTTGTGGGATGTAAATAATTGACCCCACGCCACAGTTTGTACCTTGGCCTTAGACTGTGATATAATAGTTTTACTTATAGCTGTGCCTTAAGGCACCTGCCAAGATCAGGGCTTCATTGTGATGTGTACATATACTTAGTGGGAGATAGTCCCTCCTTAAAAGAGCTTACAGTTTAATTACACACAACTGACAAAGAAAGGATTATTTCCCCATTTTACAGATGGTGAACTGAGGGAGGTTACACCTGTGAACTGAACACAGCTCTTCTGTGTCCTGCAACGGTGCCTTAACCTCAGGGCCAGCTGTAGGCACTGAAACTGTAAGGTTCATTCAGCCCAGATCAGTAATAGCTACAAGTTGTTGTCATCTGGGCCATTCAAAGGACTGTGTGGAACAAGTTTGAGGGTCTACATTGGCTAGGCAGTCTCAGCAGGGAGGCTGTGGGTCAAATGGGCCATGGAGAACAAACTCCATTTCTCCTCTTAGGGCTTGTCTATAGTTATTCCACTATAGCTATGACAGTCACTTTCCCTGTGCATCCAATGAAGTGAGCTGTAGCTCACTCGAAAGCTTATGCTCAAATAAATTGGTTAGTCTCTAAGGTGCCACAAGTACTCCTTTTCTTTTTGCGGATACAGACTAACACGGCTGCTCCTCTGAAACCTTTCCCTGTGCAGACAAGCCCTTAGGCTAAGTCTATTATGCCATTATACCTGAGTAAGGGGGACTTGGTTGAAAAGTGGTTAAAAGCTATAGTGTAAATGGGACCTACTATAAGTGGGGTTGTCCAAAGCTTTAGCCCAGTTACAGGACACAGTTAGGCCCCATCTAGACTTCTAATCATAATGAGATCATGCAGGGACATCATGCTGTAGCCACATCCTCCTATTCAGTGCCTGTGAGACACTTCCTGTGGGTACTCAGAGTTGGGAGGCACCTTACTTCCACCTGGTGGTAGAGAGAGGGAACCACGTCTGTGCCTGCTGTGGGTCAGTTTCCCAATTCCACCAACCTCTGGCAACACAACCACTGCCTTCCAGGTCACTGCAGGCCCTGCTTTCTCTGTACAGGGGAATGGCCCGTACACCCCAGCCCCTGAGTCCTCTAAGCATCCCACCTAGAGTGCCCAGCCCCCATTCCCTTGGGCACTCACAGAATTCATAGCTCTGAGACGCCCAGAGGAGTAACCCCACCAGCTTACCTGTTTCACCTCCGAATCACCACTCCACTCAACACACGGTGCTTAGAGATGTTTGTAATAAAACCAAGATGTGTATTTAACAACGAACAGAGATGCAAGTAATGGCAAGTTGAAGGAAGTATGGGAAACAAAGAGTTACATATAAAATAAAACCATAACACGCCTTCTAGAACTTAGTATCGCTCAGCTGCATTTCTCAGCCAGGTGGGCTGTGATCCCTTTGTCATGAAACAAACCATGCTCTCAGCTTGTCCCTTCGATAGAGGATGCAGAGCATAGCTCTGGACCTACAGCTGCAGCCCAAAAATCTATGTCTTCACTGATAAACAGTACTCACTCCTGCCAGTTTATTTTTTCCTGTAAATCCCTCTCTGGAGGATTTCACAATCCCTTCACTGGCATTCAGCTCAGGCTGGAAATGGGCATCCCTTGTGAACCATACAATGCTCAGTTTACAAGTAACCAGCCAGCCAGATAAACATCTCTTGCCTGAGGGAAACCCTGTGTCTCACCCTGTGGTGCCCAGCCCCAAGTCACAGACCTTAAGAACGTAACTCTCCTGATCAACGTCGTTATTTGGGGGCGATGGGGTTGCGAAGATCCTACTGCTGCTGCTCATGTTCTCATAGCTGGGAAGAGCTGTAACCTGGCCCTGTTGGGCTGTGAAACTGAGCAGTGAAATCCTGACACCGAATGCAGCATGGTTCAAGTGTACAGTATTCGCTCCATTCATAACCAAGTGTGGTGGGAACAGGCAGACCCCTACAGGGCAAGGCAAAATGATCCTAGGCATGGTCTCCAGCCACTGACTGTATAATAGACCACTCTAGACAGAGCTGCAGGCTGGGACACAAAACGATCTGCAGGTGGGTATTGTGGGCCTGAGCCACAAAGACTAAATGCAACTTTTCCCCATGTGTGGAAGTGTTCAGACCAGCCTGTGGTGGGAACAGTCATTCTTCATGTGACTGTTCAGTGCGAACAAGGCTTAGGGAGGCCGTTTGTGACAGCACAGGCTGGGAGCTGGGGAACCAAAGGGACAGGCTGTTTGCAGCATCCTCACTAGAGAATCTCTTTTACATTCGTTCTGGTTGAGTCCTGTCTCTTTTTTACTGTTAGAGACACTGCAGGGTCCACCGTAGGGGTAGGCGCAAGGCTTGGATCTAAACAGACCTTTTCCAGAGTTTGGGGAGAAGGGTGTTCAGACCGGTCCCCATTTGCAGCAGGAAAGCAGGGAGAGTGTAATGGGGAACTATAGCAGGGCTCTGCAGGTCCTGTGTGCTGGGCAATAAAGGAGCATGATAAATACCCAGCCAAAGTCATAATCCTGCTGCATTGAGGTGCCTGAGTGCTAATTATGTGGCTACCATGGAGTGGTTAGTGCACGCAGCAGTGCAATGGGAATGGGCCGCTGAATATCTGAAAACAGCCCTTTGCAGCAACATAGTTAGATCGAAGATCCATAAAGTGTCAGCTGGGCTGCAGGCCAAAGTAATTGTGGCAAAGCTGATCAGAAAATAGATGCTGGGAAAATGCAAAGAGCCCTGCAACTAGGATGTACAGCGGAAGAGCTTTAATCTGAGTGGGGGTGGCTGCACCATCAGCCTAAGAAAGCCACTCGATTGCCCACCGTGGATTTAACCAGGGGGACTCACTGCCACTAGATATCCTGGAGAAGGAGATTACCATGAATAATAATATCCACAGTTACACTAGCTGGGATTGAAACCTTCCTGCTTCAAGATAGACTCCAACCACTAACTGCTTGGGGAAGAAACTACTGCGGGAGCAGGCTATTGTATCCTTCTCCATTATAGGGTTCTCCCACCTACCTCTGAAGCGTCTGGAATTGGTTGTTGGAGTCAGGATACCTGACCAGCTGGGTGGTTGGCCTCATCCACTGTGGCAGGTCCTATGTTCCTACCGTGAGCACTAGGACTAGAGAGGGGGCTGTGCTGCAAAGGTCACATGGGCTCTGAAACTTCCCCAAGGCTCAAGGCGGGGTGGGGAGAAGGTTTTGGTTCAGGTTCCTCTCCAATGAGTAATGAATGTGTGATTTTAGGAGGAGGGATAAAATCCAGCACTATTCCATGCTCACCCTGCCTGTTGCAGTTTCATATCAGGTTTTTATGGGATTTTATGGGTTTTCGAGCACTCCTCATGCTGCAGGTGGTCCTATGGGAAAGAAGATGCTCCGTTTTATTAGAGGGGACATCTGTTCAGAAGGGGCTGCGTCAGGATTTTCCCTCTCTCGGGAAGGGGGAAAAAGCTCTCACCTTCCAAATGTTGGTGCCCCATTTGCCAAGCTTTTCCAGGATGCCTATTGCTCCGATTCCCAGGGCTGGACAGGAAGACTAAGGTTGCTCAGAAGTCAGCACCATATTTGAATGAATGACACATACAGGGGACACCACAGGTGTTTAGATACCACCACGCTGAGGGACACGGTGTTAGAACCTAGGTAGATAAATATTCCTGAGCCATGGCTGGCCACGGCAGGCAGAGGAAGATCATCTGGTTGCTGAGAGCGAAACTGACTTTCTGAACATCTCCGCCAAGCGGTTTCCTCTGATGGCCTGTGAGCCAATTATAAGACAGTGTCACCATCTACTGGGAGTGCTAGGTAATGCAGTCCCTGCACCATCCCTTCACATGTTCTGTGATTAGTTAAGATTTAGTTCACTGACGTTTCATCAGCTCAGAAAAAGAGTGTTTCATGCCAGTGCCAATACAGAGTTTTAAATAAAGGTGACATGGAGGAAGGAAGGTAGCTATTTGCCTGAACTCTGAGATGGGCACCACAATCTCACACATCTGAGGGATAATTGTAACCATCCCACTAAGTTTCTCTTCAAGCTTTAACCTTTGTTCTGCCAGAATCTTGTTAAAAACGTAAACCCATAGCACACATTCCTGCAGCAGTGAGTCAGACTCCCTCTCCTTCTGGATTATAAGAGTCATTATTACGGACGTGATTATGAGACGAGATCAAGGCCCTACAAGGAGCAAGGTGGAACAAACCTTGTTGGCTGAGCACAGGCCCAGGATCCAGAAACTCTGGAATTCTAACCCCAGCTCAGCCAAATTTTCAAAAGTGGCTATTGATTTTGGAGCTCTCCATTTTGGGGACCCCAATTTGCTTAACGTTTAGAGGTGTCCAGCACTGACAGCTCCCACTGCAGTTTATGGGAACTATTGATCCTCAGCAGCCCCTCAGAAATGTGGTCTTGGGTGTCTCTAAGTGGACACCTAAAATTAATGGACGCTTTTGAAAACTGTGGGCCTTGGTGTCCATATTACTAG